AAGGAATGGGCTTCATTGTAGCCTTTCATGTGAGAATAGTGTACAGCGCTCGCATATCCCATAATATGGGCCGGGTAGCCACAGAGCCTCTCCATAATGGCCCCTCTATCCACTCGTAGCACTTTTCACGCTGCCTGGAATATGTAAGGGACGTGGTGCGTGACTAGATTTCGAATGGGCTCAAGTGCAGTAATGTGTTTCCAGTTCTTCTGTGCCTTTTCTGATTCTGGTTTTATACGGGGAAGGAGGGGATGGGCGTAAATTCTGATATGTGGTTTCCGTTCTACCTGAGCGGGATAAGCAGCAGGAGGATCGATGGATTGGGTTCCTTTCTAAGCAGTTAGGTGTCTCCAAACCTCTGGGGCTGTATAATTTAATGGATAAAGTCACGTCCTTGAGGTCAGTCAGGTATCACCCCCAGATCCTTGGGAGCGAGCCTTTTCTGCCGGAATCCCCGGTCCGTGTCAGACTGCTATGTCCTCGGGATTCTCAGTGGAGGAGTCGCTGACATGTATGTGCTAATAGGAAGTCATGGGGGATGAAAAACAATTTCAGACAAACTACTCACTCCGTTCATCTTGGAGAATAGTTTTTCTTTCTCCCTAAGCGTTAAAGATAAACCATTGCTAATAATTTGGACCTCTCCAAAAACCTTTTCTGTTTGAATCCTTTCTTTCACATCTTGTGTTTTTTTTTTTTTTTTAAGGCTTTTGAGTCTGAACAAAAAGCTCATTTTCTGTGAATAAGTAAATCTTATTCAGTATTTTTTCTAAATGGAATTCAGGCCAAGTGCTGATTTGTTGGCACGGTTTAACGCCACACGTAAATACGCTGTAACCTTGGTCAGGCGGCTGGAGGGAGGAGCCCGCGCTGAAATCCGCCGCGAGAAGTGCTCTTCTCACGCCTCTGCTTCTACTGTCTCCTCCTTTGTCACGAAAGTGTGAGGCATCCTACTGAGTGTTTACACGCTGCTTTTGTGCTGCAGTTGGCTGCTTTGATAATGCCTGATGTATGTCAATATGGTTTGTGAAACATGAGTGCTGCTCGAAGTCCATGTGGTCCCATAGTCAAGATTCAGCATCAGCACTCACTGCAGACAGAATGAATTCGGCTTGCTAAGTCAGCACCCTCTCAGAAGATGGTACCCTGAGCAGCAGAGGTGGGTAATTCAGGTACAGAGAGTCAAAGTCCAGGCCAAGGTTTTGTTTCAACCAACCAGCTGAGTATAAAGAGTCACAGTCACAGAGTTTTCAACTGGTTGGCTGAAAGAAAATCTGAAGACTGGACTTCTACTCTCTGGACCTGAACTACCCAACTCTGCAAGGCGGCCACCTATGTCTCGTAATGGGTTGACTGGCACTGCGTACCACTCTGAGGAAATTTTCCCCATTTGGGGATGTTATCTGGAGATTCTCTCAAGGAGAACACAACCATCAGTGCTCCCAGTACAGCCGCGACCCCGATTAGCAGCCGTGTTCGGCGTGAGGACTGAAATGGGCTGTACGAAGGCTGCCCCCGCTGTATCGACGCACCGGGGCCGTCTCGCCGTCTGGCCCAGCTGCAGACCAGCTAATCGATGGAATTACCGCACCTCCCAGCAAATAACTCCAGCCTGATTATCAAACAAAAGCTCCCTCAGAGAAGCAATTAAGGGGGTCTGTAAAGCCAGAGTGGGGGGGATGAACCAATTCAGAAAAAAAAATCAAATAATAAGCTGCAGGCACCCGGGGCGGCATCACAAGTCTTTATCAAACATCTAGATGGATTTCCATATACAGACCGTTGTCCGGCTTTTCCTGCTAATTAGCTCATTTTTTCCCAGCCTCCTTTTCAGCACAGGTTCCTGTCTCCCAACGCAATCCAATCAGCGCTGAACTTGAAAACTCTTTACAAGAACCATAAATCTCCTACCAGCCACTGTTGGGTTCTAGATAGAGCTGCCAGATGATCACCTTGAGAACCTTGGGACGCCCAGGTGCACGTTGGATATGGCAGAGAGGAGATCTGTACTGCCAGACTTGGTCTTAGTCTCTTGGTCTTGGTCTTCATGTCACAGATTTGGGAAATGTTCCATACAGATCTCATTCTGCTGGAGTTAATTTATGCCATGAGTATCTTCTTCCAGATCATTCTCCTTGCATTAGCTCTTGCATTTTGTCACTGTTACTTCTCATCATCAGTAATGAACAATAGTGGAGCTTCTCCTTGTCATTCAGCTTCAGTGGTGGCTTTTCTGGTTCCATGAGGCTAGAACGTCCATTTACCAGACCAGATGATCCATGGATCAGGGAGGACACTTTGAACTACTTCAGGCTTTACAAAGAAATTTGGGGTTGATTACTTAAACCCAAATTGTGTAGCATCTCTTTATGGTGCTGGGAGGTGTGAGACCTTCTCTCCATCCATCATGGAACGTCAAGGTTATAGGTCTCCCTGTCAATGGCCAGCGGCATTGTGGCAGACCTGGGCCATGGCCACCTTGCTAAAGCAGCCTCTAAGGGGTGTTAGGAAAGAGACAGTCATGTGAGGAGCTGCTGGATGCATCAGAGTCACCCCATCATCTGTGCGCTGGTGGGTCCATGAAGAGTGATCCAATCTGCACGGAAATCGTGGACGTGTTCTCTGAGCCGTGATTAAGCGGCGGCCCGGTGTTTGTTATCACACGGAAAGGTAGGACACATGTAGCTCCGTGGCCAATTACAGCAGACGTGGCTGGCATGTATGGAGTCACTCCAGCGCTGAGCTTTCAGCACATGGAGGAAGCAGGTTTAATTTCATGATTATGCATCTATCGAGGTGTGCAGTTTTTCTCCTGGAACAAACAATGCTGTGATTAGGACTCACAGCGCACCCGTGTTTGACGGCGGCATCTTTAAGTAATTACCTTGCCTCTTTCAGACTCACAGTCTCCCTGATTGCCATTGTTGGGGGCGTCGGCCTCTTGCTGAGCCAACGAGCTCCGTCTTCACGTTCAGATGCTCTCAGGCTGCGTCTCTCTCCCAGCTCCTCTCCACACACACCTACATGTGCAAGTCTCTCCTTCCCAGGCTTTGTTGTAGTTGGTCCACCTGTATGCCCTACCCGAGCTCAGCCCCTCTGGGCATACTCAAGGCATTCCCCCCCCACTGATCCCTCTATCCCTCTGCCCTCTATCCATCAGCTCCCTCAGCACTCTATCCCCCTGCCCTCTATCCCTCTCCCCTATATACCTCTATCCCTCTATCCCTCACCCCCATATCCCTCTGTGCTTTATCCCTCTCCCCTATATCCCTCAATCCCTCTGTCAATCTATCCCTCTGCCCTCTTTCCTCTATCCCTCTAGCCTCTATTCCTCTATCCCTCTATCCTTCTGCCTCTCTTTCCCTTTCCCTCTATCCCTCTGCTCCTCTTTCCCTCTGCCCTTCTTCTCACTATCTCTCTGTTCTGATATTCCTCTGTCCCTACATGTCTCTGCTCTATATTTCTCTCCCTTTACCCCTCTGCCATCTATCTCTCTATTCCTCTGTCCCACTGCCCTGTATTCATCTGCCCTCTCTCCCTCTGTGCTTTATCTCTCTCTCTTCACTATCTCTCTGTTCTGATGTCCCTCTGTCCCTCCATGTCTCTGCTCTCTATTTCTCTCCCTTTACCCCTCTGCCATCTATCTATCTCTCTATTCCTCTATCCCACTGTCCTGTATCCATCTGCCCTCTATCCCTCTGTGCTTTATCTCCTCTGTCCCTCTGCCTCATTATCCCTCTATCTCTCTGCCCTCTATCTCTGTATTCCTCTATCCCTCTGCCCCTCTGTCCCTCTGCCCTCTATCTCTCTGCCCTCTATCCTTCTATCCTCTATGCCTCTGCCCTCTATCCTTCTGCCCCTCTATCCCTCTGTCCTCCATCCCTCTTTCCTTCTGCCCTCTATCGCTCTGCCCCTCCATCCCTCTGTCCTTCCAGATTTTCTATTACCGTCCCTTTACTATTTATTTTCCTCTTTAGAAAAACAGTCTTTTTATCAACGTTTACGGCATCATTAATTCTCCAAATGGGTTTTAAGTTAATTAAAAGCGATTACATGGCTGTTCACAGTGTGATCCATTATTACAGCTCCTCAGTTCAGAAAACATGGAGCACCTCAGCAATCCTGAAGAAAGAGGGATGCAGAGGAACAGGGGAGAGCAAGGAAGATGGAAACAGATGGAAATTCTGTCTAAAAGGCAGCAAACACAGGAGATAGCAGATGTAGACGGAAGGTTATATCTGCCGGAATAAGCTGCCAAGATTTATAATTGAGGTCACAAAACCAGGATGCATCTGAATTCAGCCCTGATGCAGCTGTAGATTTGCTTCTGATGCAGAAAATAAAATGGCCGCCTGGCAGGTGGAGGCGGGAGAGGAGGGGTTAGGTAGCTGTAGGGGGCCGAACTTCACAGGCCTGACAGAACAGTGACAGAACGTCTCAGATCGCAATTCTGCCAACAGTGGAACTGATACGGTGCTTCTCTGGAAGGTTCTCTCAAGACGAACTGTTAAAGTTAGCAGCATGAGAGGGATGTAGATGTGCCTTGATGCTTCTCTGAAACGCTGATAACATTAATGTTTACAAAACATGCAGGGAAGCGATTGTCAGCTTCCTCTGGCATCTAGGGTACGGATCCCTCTGTTATTCCACATAAGGCTGGCCTCACATTCACCTTAAGCTCCGTGTCTCCACCCTTGTGTTTGCCTCACACTTAGCTAAAGTCACACTAATCACAGTGAACACCCTGCTTCTCATGTGCAGCTGGAACCAGGGGCCTATCTCAGTGGGAAGGCAGGGTTTTAAATATCCTACAGAGCCCCACTTTTAAAGGGGGGGGGGGGGGCGCGGGTAGGAGGCAAGGTTTGCATGTGACTCTGCAAGGAGGGGAGGGTAGGAAGGGAAAGAAGTCAAAGGTCATTCACGATGCAGGAAGTGCTGTAGACACCAGCCCAGGGTGAGAGGTGACCGTCTCTGCTCTTGCCCCCGTGTGTGTGGTGCAGGTGAAGTACGGCCACTTCGCCTTTGTGTGGGACGCCGCCGTGCTGGAGTACGTCGCCATCAACGACGAGGACTGCTCGCTGTACACCGTGGGGAGCAGCATCTCCGACCGTGGCTATGGCATCGCCATGCAGCACGGCAGCCCCTACCGGGACATCTTCTCCCAGAGGTACCGTGGTGGGGGGCTGGGGGGCGGGGCCACAGGGAAGGGGTGGGCCAAAGAAGAAGGGGGCGTGGTCACATGGGGTTACCGGGAAACTAGAAACTTGCTGATTTTGTCACCGAGTGTCTTTTTATTTGTTTTATCACAGCTCACGCACATTGACACCCCTGCACACTGCCATGCTGTATAATGAGATGAGGTGTTTTCGCTTCTGTGTGTTATTCCATCAACAGCTGTTTACCCCTTTTTGTCCACTGATGCGCACGATTGGAGGAGAATATCTCCTGTAATGGAAGTTATTAAAGTAAACAAGCTATTAATTGAAAATCACTTTTCATTTCCTCTCGTTATTGTCAAGGCCGTGTCGTGCCCTCGGGAGTAAGCGTGCGCTTTGTTTCAATAAAACACTTCACTAAAAAGGTTCCCTGTGGTTCCTGGAACAATAATGGGGATGCACTGAAGACAAAACTGTCCTGGAAGCATTAATATTTCATGGCCAGTGCCCGATCGCTTGACAGGACCTCATATGCAGACTCAAGGACGAGCATGACACACTGTGAGCTAATCGTTTGGGTCACGGATTTGGGGAGCGATTTGAGGTGGGATCCTCGCTTTGGAAACGAGACCCAATGTCCCTGCTATCTCTCTGCGCTTTGTCTTTGATGGGCCAGAATGTACTCGGTACATGGGGTGACATGTACGGGTGACGTGCCAGTGACATCACCCTGCCAGCNTTCTATTCCTCTATCCCTCTGTCTTCTGCCCCTGTGCCCTGTATTTCTCTATCCCATTATCCCTCTATCTCACTATCTCTCTGTTCTGATGTCCCTCTGTCCCTCCATGTCTCTGCTCTCTATTTCTCTCCCTTTACCCCTCTGCCATCTATCTACCCCTCTATTCCTCTATCCCACTGTCCTCTATCCATCTGCCCTCTATCCCAATATGCCTTAACCCCTCTGTCCCTCTGCCTCATTATCCCTCTATCTCTCTGCCCTCTATCCTTCTATCCTCTATGCCTCTGCCCTCTATCCTTCTGCCCCTCTATCCCTCTGTCCTCCATCCCTCTTTCCTTCTGCCCTCTATCGCTCTGCCCCTCCATCCCTCTGTCCTTCCAGATTTTCTATTACCGTCCCTTTACTATTTATTTTCCTCTTTAGAAAAACAGTCTTTTTATCAACGTTTACGGCATCATTAATTCTCCAAATGGGTTTTAAGTTAATTAAAAGCGATTACATGGCTGTTCACAGTGTGATCCATTATTACAGCTCCTCAGTTCAGAAAACATGGAGCACCTCAGCAATCCTGAAGAAAGAGGGATGCAGAGGAACAGGGGAGAGCAAGGAAGATGGAAACAGATGGAAATTCTGTCTAAAAGGCAGCAAACACAGGAGATAGCAGATGTAGACGGAAGGTTATATCTGCCGGAATAAGCTGCCAAGATTTATAATTGAGGTCACAAAACCAGGATGCATCTGAATTCAGCCCTGATGCAGCTGTAGATTTGCTTCTGATGCAGAAAATAAAATGGCCGCCTGGCAGGTGGAGGCGGGAGAGGAGGGGTTAGGTAGCTGTAGGGGGCCGAACTTCACAGGCCTGACAGAACAGTGACAGAACGTCTCAGATCGCAATTCTGCCAACAGTGGAACTGATACGGTGCTTCTCTGGAAGGTTCTCTCAAGACGAACTGTTAAAGTTAGCAGCATGAGAGGGATGTAGATGTGCCTTGATGCTTCTCTGAAACGCTGATAACATTAATGTTTACAAAACATGCAGGGAAGCGATTGTCAGCTTCCTCTGGCATCTAGGGTACGGATCCCTCTGTTATTCCACATAAGGCTGGCCTCACATTCACCTTAAGCTCCGTGTCTCCACCCTTGTGTTTGCCTCACACTTAGCTAAAGTCACACTAATCACAGTGAACACCCTGCTTCTCATGTGCAGCTGGAACCAGGGGCCTATCTCAGTGGGAAGGCAGGGTTTTAAATATCCTACAGAGCCCCACTTTTAAAGGGGGGGGGGGGGGCGCGGGTAGGAGGCAAGGTTTGCATGTGACTCTGCAAGGAGGGGAGGGTAGGAAGGGAAAGAAGTCAAAGGTCATTCACGATGCAGGAAGTGCTGTAGACACCAGCCCAGGGTGAGAGGTGACCGTCTCTGCTCTTGCCCCCGTGTGTGTGGTGCAGGTGAAGTACGGCCACTTCGCCTTTGTGTGGGACGCCGCCGTGCTGGAGTACGTCGCCATCAACGACGAGGACTGCTCGCTGTACACCGTGGGGAGCAGCATCTCCGACCGTGGCTATGGCATCGCCATGCAGCACGGCAGCCCCTACCGGGACATCTTCTCCCAGAGGTACCGTGGTGGGGGGCTGGGGGGCGGGGCCACAGGGAAGGGGTGGGCCAAAGAAGAAGGGGGCGTGGTCACATGGGGTTACCGGGAAACTAGAAACTTGCTGATTTTGTCACCGAGTGTCTTTTTATTTGTTTTATCACAGCTCACGCACATTGACACCCCTGCACACTGCCATGCTGTATAATGAGATGAGGTGTTTTCGCTTCTGTGTGTTATTCCATCAACAGCTGTTTACCCCTTTTTGTCCACTGATGCGCACGATTGGAGGAGAATATCTCCTGTAATGGAAGTTATTAAAGTAAACAAGCTATTAATTGAAAATCACTTTTCATTTCCTCTCGTTATTGTCAAGGCCGTGTCGTGCCCTCGGGAGTAAGCGTGCGCTTTGTTTCAATAAAACACTTCACTAAAAAGGTTCCCTGTGGTTCCTGGAACAATAATGGGGATGCACTGAAGACAAAACTGTCCTGGAAGCATTAATATTTCATGGCCAGTGCCCGATCGCTTGACAGGACCTCATATGCAGACTCAAGGACGAGCATGACACACTGTGAGCTAATCGTTTGGGTCACGGATTTGGGGAGCGATTTGAGGTGGGATCCTCGCTTTGGAAACGAGACCCAATGTCCCTGCTATCTCTCTGCGCTTTGTCTTTGATGGGCCAGAATGTACAGTACTCGGTACATGGGGTGACATGTACGGGTGACGTGCCAGTGACATCACCCTGCCAGCACTGGGATTCAAACCGGCAACCTTCCGATCACAGACACAGTGTCCTTACTTGCTGAGACCCCGTCACTTGTATCATGTGATTTACTGTAGCCTAGATACCACCCCCCTCCCCACCCTGCGAGTGTCTGGGCGGCCCTCAGGCACACCCCGTATCTCCAAAGGATGTTCTAGGTGAAAATGACTTTTCTGTCGCTGGCTGAGGCATGCCCGCACCATGGAAATGCCGGGATATTAACGGGAACGTCATGCTGATGGGGACCACATTGGGGGGGGGGGGGGGGGCGGTTTTGCACGGTTTTCATTAAATTGCGCCAGTTTCAGGAGGCCGGTGGCAGACGCAAAGTAGACACTCTCTCGCCCCCAAGCGCTGTCAGCACCCAACAAATGGAAGGAATTACAAATATGTTTTCTGGACAAATTGTCATATTTAACGAAGCTTTGAAATAGCTGAGTGCACATGCATTTTTTAATGTCTCATGCTGCTTCAAGTGCCATTTTACCATTTATGCTAATTAATGGGTTGTGTCTGTGATGTTTTACGGCTGTCCCACTGTGTCCGTCCCGTGAGCTGCATTCCGGAATACTCTTCTCCTCCATTGTGTGAGTCACTTTTAGTTGATGCTTCTATCTGAAATGACCACTGCAGTGCACATGGTGACCACTGCATGCCCTGCAGACTAGTGATACATCTAGACAATGTGAGACACACCGTCTCTTAGCAAGATCATAGCCCCCTGGAATGAACTCTGCAGTCCTAGAATGTACCTTCTGCAGTGCTGGAACCTATTTTCTGCAGTGTTGGAATGTACCGTCTCCAGTGCTGGAATGTACTTTCTCCAGTGCTGGAATGTAGTTTATGCAGTGCCAAGTGTACTTAATGCTGTGCTCAAAGATAATTTCTCCAGCAGTGTAATGTACTTTAAGCAGAGTTGGAATGTTCTTTCCCTAGTGTTGGAATGCATCTTGTAGTGCTGGAATTCTGATGTTCCAGGGCTGCAGTGTCTTCTGTCCTATTGTAATGAATTGTGCACTGCTGGAATGTGATATTTTGTGTAGATGGAATTTTCTTTGCAAGGCCATTATGCAGATTCTGGAAATAATTGTAAGAATCAGTAAAGCTTTGGCTTTATTCTAAAGTTTAAAGACAAGTTAATGGGTCCAGAGAGCTTGTTTTTATCTGCAAAGCACAACAGCAAGGTCCAAAGAAAATTCGTTTTCCACAACTGCATGAAAACATATGGCAGGAGAGGATTTGCGTTGTTCTAATGCATTCTACTCTATTCTGCCAAGTCATGACTCATTTAATTTCAGTAATATTTTTGTCTTGCTTTATCTCAGAGTAAAAATAAATGATCACAATCCAACAGAAGGAAGAATTAAGAATTCACGGAAATGCGGTTCTTTGATCTTACATGATGAACTGCATTCTGATGAGGCTTTGGGTGTCTGGTGGCTACAAAGGCTGCACTGTGGTGCTCGTTTACCGGTCATTTAGACGAAGCCGTGCCCTGAATCAGCCCACTGTGCCGGCTGTCCTTGGGCCAGTCTTGGTGTGCCCTCTCTGCTTGTTCCTTGGGTGATTGGGTGATTTATGATTCAATTGAACGGCAGCATGGCCTCTAGCATATGCCCCAGATTCTCCACTACCTTGCTATGATTTTCTCTCATATGACTCTCCCGGTCATTAGCACCGTCGCTCCGTCTTTGTCGTCTTCTCCCTGGTTGCTAGCTAGACTGCCACTTGTGACGTCAGTCATGGGAAGCCTTGTTTATTGGGTTTAATACTTGTTTCTGTATGATTTTTCTGACCCCTTCTGGGATAATAATCTGTAATAATCTTCTGGTAATTATAATCTGTTCATGGTTGTTTGTTGCTTCAGCTTTTATTATTGCTAATTTAAAAAGCTCAGTAAGCAGAATGTTATAA